CCCGTGTGTGTGATGAATAGCTAAAACCTCATCATTATATCATCACACGGTATGTACATAGATAATCGTATTGAGATTCACCAATGAGGGTGAAACATGTATATATGCGAGAGCTTACCCATATGTACCATAGAGTCATGGTTGTATCATGGTCTGAAGAACCATGATTTTTTTTATCTCTAGGGGAGAATCTGGAATCCATAAACTAGGATTACGTCCTCTACTCCATTGGCTGACTTTGGTGGTCCAATCATGAGCCTCTGCAGTGGACTGTGGGTCATGGGAACTGCTGGGTTAGTTTGAAAAAGCTAGGTGGAATCTGGTCTGCAATTGAAGGTGGAGTGCTCCCGTATATTGATAAATTATTAGACCTAATGGATCGGATTCCCATTATAATTAAGTAATTTTAATTACTTTTATGTTATATGATTTTTACAATATTTATTTGAATTTTTGTGAATCTTCTGATATTTTAGTTTTATCATTTGGATTTATAAATTTAGAGAAATTAAGTTTCCAATGTTTTAAACAAAATATGAGATTTAAAATTCTAAATTCAAATAAAATATTTTCTAAAATTTTTTGATCCAAAAATAGATTGTTTGATCAATTTTAGTTATCCCCTATAGTCGACATGCCCCACCAAAGATTTACTAAAATTTTCTAAAATAGATTCAAATATTTAAAATATTTAGTAAATCTTTGAATCAAGATTGTTTGATCCAAAAAAAATAAGGAATGGATGTACTAAATAGAAAGTAAGATATATACTTTTCTTATTTTACGATTTGATGGGAATAGATTTAAAAAAGGGATGATAAGGCCTTAGCATATCTCTCACCCCATAAGTCTTTCTAAATCCACAGTCAAATTTTGGTCCTGCGAATTATAGCAAACCTAAGGCATATAAAATTTATAAAAAGAAGCTCTTCTACGTCATAAATCTCTACACCAATTCTCTCTTCTCGCTCTAAAATTTATCTTTCTCCCAAGTCTCAAGAGGGGCACACCTCAACCTAGGTAGATCATATCTCACTCCAAGTTTCTAAGAGGGCACACCTAACTAAGATCTCTCTCTCTCTCTCTTAAATTCTCCAAAGGGGACATGCCCAAGCCATCTCTCCATCTCTTGTACGTTCTAAAGGGCACATCCAAACAAAGGTTGGATCTTGAATTTTGTGGGTAGCAAAGGGGAGCATCCCCTAGCTAGTTGATCTCTCATTCTCTCTTTGATTTCTATCTCTGATCTCTTTAAAGATCAAAGCCAATGAGCCTTGAGCAAGACTAAGGTATTGAGGCATTAGATAGTTTTAAATCAAGATTCATATGCCATCGAGAGATTTTTGCCATAAGTAAGAGAATCAAAAGACCAATCATAGATCACGAGTGCCATCAAAAGGAGGAAACTCGGTATGTGGTATACCATGCATGATTGAGGTAATCTCTGACAATTTTAATTCTTTAAAATATTTTTTTGTTGAGCTCTTTTATTCTCATGAAGCAATGAGTCAATATTTTGATTTAATGAATTATATTCGATAGTAGTAACAAGTGAGAACCGTGTTTCTCTTCTTTTATTTATTTGTTTCAAGAGTTATTTATTTGTAATTGTACATTGTGAGTGATCTTGCCGGTGTAAGAATAAGAAAAAATAATTTATATACACCGTGGTTGATCACGTAGTCCAGCTTTCAAATGAAACATGAGCCAATGCTAGTTTTGGCAGGGCTATAATTTGCAACCCTTAGAAAAGGTTTTCCCTATGCTAAATTGATAAAGAAACTGCTGATTCTAGACATGTGCAGGGTCTCCAGGGAGTTGTTAGACCAAGTATATGTAGTACCAATGATGGGCAAATCAATAAGTTCATGATCTTGTATGAAATCATTAAAAAGCCTCGTACACGTGGATATTATAGTTTGGGTATTTGATTCATTTGGCCATTTTACTATACATTACCCCCATGCACCACATCACGGTATTTCTTGAGATGCTACAAATTCATTTACATAGGCAAGAAGATTTTGTCAATCAGCTGGAGTGTTGGGACCATAGATACAAGAAACATGGCATTTGTCATTAGAAATTATACATTCAAAGCACTCATCCAACATACAACAATTAAAGACAAAACTGGACCCCTTAACACTATGGGGTCCCAAAACAAGAAGCAAGCCACCATAAAAGCCCTACAGCAGGAATATAAACAAAGTCAACTGGCCAATGGCCCCAAAAATTTCCCAAAAGCTAATATTAGGGGTTTGAACTTTTGTTTCTTGAATGAGGAGTATGTGAGGTTTATATTTCCTAACCAACCTACACAAAATACACCTCCTCCTTGCACTCCCTAAACTCCAAACTATGCCAATATATAATCTTCATTTGGGCCTGAAGAAGACTCCCCCTCTGGTGATCCCTAGCAATGGGGGTTTGCTAATCGTCGTCGTCGTCTCAAACTCCCTAGAAAATGGGGGTTTGCTAGGGTTAGGGTAAGAGCTTTGATTAGAGGCTTTAGAAGCCATGAGTGCAAGAAGAAAAAAAATCAAAGGGCTGGAGAAGGCTTAGAGGGCATTAAAGAAGTGGTTGGATTTGGAGCACAGAGACCACCAGTGTAGTCCCTGCATCCAGCAAATTAGGTGAAGGCTTTTCCTCTTGTGGCCGCTTGGCTCAATCATTGAAATTGAATTTTTTAAAAAAAAAATTTTGAATTTCATTTGACCGTTGTGGGGCTTGAGCAATCCGACTTCCTTCCGACACCAAATCAATTTTTTATTCTTTTTTATATACATCTTCTTCCCCCTCTGTGATTGGGTAGAGGCAACAAATCTGCCATTTACTCAACTGAAACGGCTTCCACTTTCTCTTCCTAGAAATCAAAGTCCACCCTTGTCCCGTATCAATGCTTCAAGTCTGCTTACTGGTAGAGTTCTTCGCAATAGCTCAGTCCTAGGCCCAGTTAAAAGGTGCTTCTCCTCACTAATTCACACCTGAAAGAAATCCCCTTAAACCTACAAAATCAAACATTCCAAAATCTCTCTGAATGGAGTCCTCTGGAATTTAACTTTCAGGGAGCCCAAATAACTTCCTGCTGCCAACTTCCAATCAATTAACTTCATCCAAACATGTATGTGGATGCCCTCTATTTCGAGCCATCAGGACTACAGATTGAGGTAGGAATCACAAAGGTTAGGAGACCACCATTCTAGGGACATTAAAGAACCTTTGCATCTCTAAATATCTTTGTTTAAAAACTCCTCTAACCTCGGCCGGCCTCTGAGAAGCAAGATAAGACTCAGTTACCTTAAGAGATGAAGAGGAATGCAACTCATGGATTGTCTAACAAATTCATCAAAATCAATTCTTAGACATTGAGCACGTTGTTGCTCTCCCCATAATCAACTCAGGTATACTTTTACTATTGACAGTTCAGCAAGTATAATTCTGTAACTTGCAAAAGGTTAGAAATAGCTAGAGACAACAGTGCAAATTCAAAACAATGAGGCTAGTTCTGAGGAGAATTACAAGTACTAAAACCGTGAGGCTAACTTTGAGCAGACTGACGAGGATGAATAATATGTATGGTGATTCACTTGATTAGGACCTAGCATTAGGACAGATCTGCCCATTCTGGTTTAGACTTTCTACGGTTGTAATTTGGTTCTGCAGTTTGTCAAAAAAACGGATTCGAGCACATAAGCGGTTTAAGTGCCTGGCTGCCTAGGCGGGGAACTAGGGACAGAGTGCCCGCACCAAAATAAAAAACGCTTCCCCCTCCCCAAACTATTAAAGAATTAAGTCACTAATACACTAACTATTATTTTACAATAAGACTTAAATGAATAACTGAATATATAAGATATTTTAAGACTTTGGTTTCACTTTCACACAAGACTCAACCCATTAAGATATCACAAAATCAATTATTTATCAAATAAACTAAAATAAAAAAAAATAGAATTTCAAAGTAAGACACATTATACAAAAAAGGAATCACAGACACATTATACAAAAAAGGAATCAATTATTCATAAAAGAATACGATATATGCTCAATTTCATCGTCCAAGTGAGAAAAAAATCAATAAATCACAAAAAAAAAATCACTCGTTTAACTACAAACATGTAAATATATTGTAAAAAAAAAAAGTAAAAGAAAAAACGCCTGATTCATAACATAATATATTGTAGCAAAATAAAATCAAAACCCTCTTTTAAATATGATAGTACTTTAAAAATATCCAAATAAAAAAAATTGTCGGTGCAAACCTCATTTAATGGGTAGTCAAAAGTTCTCAAAATCAACTATTAAAAGCTCCAAATCCACCCACGAACTATTGCCTTGATTTTAAGAAGAAATCGTAAAATAAAAAATTTATTGATCTTTCGATAAATCATAAAAAAAGTGGTTTTTGAGAGATTTTTCTCACCCTAATGGTCATGGATTTTCTATTGGGTGTTTAGAATCCTCCTAAAGCCCTTTTCCCCCTCTTTTTAAGGGGGAAAATTATATTTTTTACCCTTACCTGAGGGTTTATTTTTCTACCGCCAACAAGTTGTCACAAGGCGACGCCTAGGTGAGCACCTAACACCGCCTAGGCCGACAGCCAAAAGCAAAATGCATAATTACCCTGCCCAGATTGTGCCTAGGCATTTTTAAAAAAATTTCGCCTAAACAGTCAGGCGGCCGAATTTTCAAACATTGATCTTATATTAGTTTGAGAGATAATGCTTGTATATGGATGATATGTATCTTTGTATTTTATTTTATAAAAAAAAAAATACAAAAAGATAATTTACTTTTCGTCCAAAGAAATCGGAGACACTCTTGTCAGTCATATTTCAAATTAGGTGACGGTAAAACTAAACCCAAAACTCAAAATATATTTCTTGACCTTTGTGACGCATCCTAAACGAACTAATTTGACATCTAATGGCTAGGGGTTGTTATGACCTCTTTTTTCCAATTCAATATCACAGTAGATGCCATGAAAAACTTTTGCGAATTAAGTGATATTGTGGGAAAGTACTTGTCATGCATATTTCAAGCAACAACAGTCTGACATGAAACATCTTTGTAAAGTTGGCATTAAGGATCAAAAGCTCAACTGCCAATGCAGAAATATTAAGAAAGAACGCCGATTCATCCTCAAGCCTCACGACTCCGAACTACTTTGCATGTACAATTCGACGTTGAAGAAGGGCATGATAGAGATGACAATGATTATGATGTGCTGCCACATACATTGACATGCATTTGCACCTCTACTTCCTCTTGAACAGGAAAAGTGAAACCATCCACTCTTCTCCATCATTATATCCAAAGAGCTCAGCGACTGATATGAAGAAGGTTCGCCAATATGCAGTCCATTTTGTTGCAGCATCCTTGCCATATGTTGCCTCCATAATTGGCCTAATGGAAGCTGAAGTATTATCCATCCTCTTCAACCACTCTTCACTGCAAAAAGAAACATAAAACAAACTTTCCATCACTCCCTCACTGGAATAGCTCTTTCGCTAAGATTCACCTCTCTCTCTCTCTCTCTCTCAGAGTTAAGGGCGGTACCTAGTTTGGGCATAATGCTTCCCATTAACAAGCCAGTGATCAACAATGGAAACGTCATCCTGTAGAATGCAAGTATACTTCAGGCACGATAAAGATTTGTTGTTCATTCCGATAGCAACATAATTCTGGGACTCGATTCTTATTCTGATTAGGACTGCTATTACCATTATATTGCTAGAGCAGTTAGCATAGGAGAGGCTTGAAATTTTTGCATGGGGCAAAAGACGAAACAAGAAATCTATCTATAAGTTTTGAAAACATTTATAAACAATTAGTTTTGGAGAAAATAGTGGCATCAACCAAGTCCATAGCTGTATGACTAAGCTATTTGTGTGTGTGTTGTAGAGGATAAAAATCCAAGGTTTGGAAAAAAAAATAGGATAGAAAATTAAAAGGCATAACGCAAAGATTTATTTGGTTTGGTAATTGCTTACGTTCACGAGGCAGCAAAATTCTCTTCTACAAATCACAAAGATAATATACAAGTATAGAATACAACGGTCAAGCTCTCTCACAAGCCCTAAATTAGGGTTTCCTTTCTCTAAAATACCAACGCAAAGGGCTAGAGAAAACTCACTATTTTCTCTTTCAATTTTACTCTCATAAATGCATTAACTCTCTCTACAAAATATCTTTTATAAATACTAAAGCCTAGAGAATACCCACATGATGCTCTCTCTTTATATCCTTTCTCCTGAACTTGATTGATGTCCCTAACCTATAGGATTTAGTTTCTCACAAAATAGGACTCCGATTTGCCTTAACCTAATCAAGGGAGTTTCCAGAATCTAAAAGGACTAAACACCCCATAATAATAATAAACCCATATTTTTTAGGAAATATGGCTTTACCTTACAATATTCTCCCTCTTGAAGACACGTCTCTATTCTAACTAATTTGTTCTAAGAACTGCCCACCAGTTATTAATTATCAAATAACAACAAGCCCGACATAGTCATTAAGCCTCACATGAGCCTTTTTGGTTTTTTAGATCCTCTCATTCAACACCAACTAAATATTCTTGAAGCTTTTGGACAATTTCATGCTCTTGATCAAACCAACATCTCGATTGTCCTTATGGGCATTCCACCTCCACTGTCTTGTATGTAGTTCTTATTTATTTTCTTTTTTTTATATGGAGCTTTCATTGAAAATAACATTTCGGAAAACAATCTCGATCCTTAAACTCTGATTCTAATTATAAACGATAAAAGCCAAGGTGTGGGTAAAATTAAAGGAAAATAAAATGAGTGCAAAAAATTAAAAGAGCAAAACACAAAGATTTAAGTGATTTGGCAATTGCTTACATCTACAAGGCAGCAAAGTTCTCTTCCACTAATCAGAAAAATACATGCAAATATGGAGAATATAAGGGTTCTTAAGCTCTCTTTCACAAGCCCTAAAACGAGGTTTCTCTCTCTAGAACACCCACCCAAAAGATTAAAGAAAACTCACTCGTCTCTCTCTATTTTGCATTCCCATACATGCATTAACTTTCTCTCTCTACAAAATATCTTTCATAAAGAGCAAAAGCCTAGAGAACATCCACATGATACTTCTCTCTATATATATTCTTTTTCCCAAACTTGAATGTTTTCCCTAACCATAAAATATGACTCCTATTTACCTTAACCTAATCACATGAGTTTCCTAAATCTAGAAGAACTCACACCCCATAATAATAGGAAACCCATATTTTTAGGAAATATGGCTATAACATGTGTGTGTGAGAGAGAGAGAGGTGATCTTTGTAGATATTTCGTCTCTCTTCTGAAAAAGAAAAACACCTTGACTCACATAAAAGGCTTTTCAGTGGCTCCATCATCTCTCAAAACTGGCAGCAGTTATGCAAATCTTTCGAGACTTTAAGAAACATATTATTATTTATTAACCTGTCAATGACATAAATGACACTTCTGGACTGCCCTATCATTCATGATGATGATGACTACGATCACAAAAAGAAGTCTTTAGCAGGCTACCTGGAAATAGAGGAGCAAATTAGCTGAAGGCATTGTACCTCCAGTAAAGAAATACCGAGTAATCCAGTCATCGTCATTCTTATCCTGCAGAACGTAAAACTTTGAGCAACTATAAGCTACATGTTAAACAGCAGTGCTACAAAAATAACAGATTGGAAAATAAGAGGCCTCAAAATCAATTAAAAAAAAACAGAATCACCATAACTCAGTTGCTCACCTCAAAGTGATAAGCGAATGTTTTGTGGCAGAAGTAATGGATAAAAAGGAGGCCATCTGGCTTCATCCACTTAGAGATCTTTCTCAAAAGCGCTTGGTAATTCTTCATATGCTGTTGCAACCACAAATTACAGCATTTTAATGGATACATAAATTGCTTTGTACGCTTAAATGTAAGTCGTTGCTTAGCCAAACAATAATAAGTGCATTTTATTTCATCAAATGGGAATCACAGTTACAGTATAAACAGCATCCATCATTTCGAACCCTGAAATTTAAGGTTCATAAACAGAAAGACCAAATACCTCAAACATTTCTATAGACATTATTCGATCAAAAGTGGCATCCATTTCAAAGTTGCTGATATCAGTAGCAATAATCTCCACATTTGATAGTTTACGCTCCCTGAATTTGCAAAGAACAAACTTGTGAGGGTCCAACCTAACCATAGCTCGAGATTTCTGTAGGAGTACCAATTAGTAATATTACAGTTATGTTAAAAATATTGATCATTTCAAGTTTTATTTAATTAAAGCAAAATCTTGGTCATCTTCTCTTTGAGTCGATATATCCCTCAGTCTGCTACAGAGCCTCTCCTTCAGAAATAGCCCTATGAAATTGCAGGTTAGGGTACACGTGGCTCTCCTATTTCCCAAAGGATAATTAAACTTCACCTTGTCTTTTGCAAGATAGTTCAACACTCATGTAGATCATTCTTTAACTTATTCGCAAAGGTCGTCCAAGCTCGAAGTCATATAAGATTAATGATACCATGGCAGCTAAGTGGGCCTTTTATACCTCAGTGGTGTCATCAACCTTAAATCTGGCTTTGTACAAACAACAAAAACCGCTATCTTATTTGGGATTCTTCAACCCATGACTAAGTCCTCTTCATTTGCGGGCATCTAATTTGTTTGATTGCAGTTGGGATCAAGCTTTGTCATTATAGAATACGGTTCCTAAAGTTCAGAAGACCTCAACTATAAAAAGTCTATTTCCGTCATTGTTAGTTAACACAAAACAAAATTCTGAAGACATAACTAGGTGCTAGTGCAAATCAGGGACTAAATTGAGGGTGTTAAGAGGTAAAGCTAGACAAAGGAAAGGACGGAGAGACAGGTGCCCTGATAATTAGTTATGTTAGCTTATGAGGAAACATGTAGAATAGGTGGAGTTTACTAGTACAGATATGGTGAGTCTCTACAGAAACTGACAGAAGTCGATAAGTATGCTACTTTATAGTAGCACTGGTCAATGTATGAGAACGTGAACAGAAGAAGGGTCAAAACAATCAAAGACCTTACCTGCTGTATACTTGTCATTATCCAAAAGGAATGTCTTGATTGCCGTTATTTTGTTGTTTATACAATAATCATGATAGAATTTAACATAATGAGAAGCACATCTACCATGATAGGAACAAATCTGGATGGATCTCTAAGTCATCCTTCTGTTATATATTTAAGGCTTTAGATTGCTCGTATGTTTTACTCGAAAGGGGCATCATTTCAGTTCAGTTCCATTGATCTCACTGAGCCAAATCGCACGCGGGGGGGGGGGGGTCGTTGGTCCCCAAAAAAATGTTATGCACTTATTTTATCATGTAACAAATTTTTATTATCTCCAGTGAAATTTTGTCTACGAAATATTTAGGTAAAGAACTTAAGAGGGACAGACTTACATCCCTACCCATATACTGTGGAATGTATCAAGATAAGGCACTTCATGTAAAGTTAGAACTGCAAATAAAGCCAAAATGGAAACGAATTCATCAATAAGTTTTTTATCTAAAAATTCTGTGACACCCAGATAACAGTAAATTATTCAATGGATGTGAATATTTTACAAAAATGGAAGTCAATATGTAACTATTGACGTACCTAAATATCTCAACATACATAGCTGCATAAAAACCAGGTTCTTGTTGATTTCCTATTGCAGATATGGTGAAAACTACACAATGAATGGATGCATTGTTTATAAGAAAGTAATACAATGGACTACAGAAAACCATATGTAGACAGAATGGGACCGATCACTGGGTTCATTTCTGTGGATGCCGTTGACCCAAATAGACTAGCAGTCCAAATGACGAGTATAATTTTCCTCTTTTTCTTTTTCTCTTTTTTTGGTTTTGGTTTCTTCTTTCTTTTTTTTGGGGGTAGGGGGCGAGGGGGTTGTAAAAAGTGACATTAGCCAATCTAACAACTTTCCATTATGTTGTAAACCAAATTGCATGGTACTTGAGATTTCCAAACACATTTTGTCACAAAGGAACCCACCTTCACAGATAGAATTTAGATGTAAGTAAACTTACCTACACTGCTCCTCTATAAACTCCTTTTGTGTCGTAGAATTGCAAATCCCTGTAACATGGCAGTTACTATATTTCTGAGCAATGTACAAAGATAGGGATCCCCACCCACATCCAACATCAAGGACACTATGCCCATCTTTTATCTGTGCCCTCTCACAATAGAGCTCCAGCATTGCTGTTTCTGCCTCCTCAAGTGTAATGTACTTGTTCTTGAAGTAGCAACAACTGTTCAAGTAGGTACTTAGCATTAACCTCTTTAGTGACAGAGAACAATTCACAATATCTTAACAAAAATGTAGGTATTTTGGATTCCAAATGAAGAGATGTTTAGCAAGACGTCAAAGTAGATTCCAAATTTTATGTGACCAAAAGAACTTGAATCCACTTCACTCTCCCAACAACGAAAAAGAAGCAAGAGAACAAAATAGGACAAATTGACTGCAAATCTTTCACTGAATATTTTGTTTTTTTTAACATTTTACTGCAAGAATACTAACACACTGAGCAAAGTATAGTGAGAAAAATACCAATAAACTATGTATCAGGCGAACTAATTTCTTTTTTTGGGAAGAAAGCATACCACAGTAAATGGCCAACGTTACATGACACTCCAAGTGACATCCATAATCGACTCTCACTGATATTTGGTTAGAGATTAAATTCAGCTATATGAATGTCCCAATTGGCCCCATTCTGTTTAATTCAGCCATCCATCAGAGGAAACATACAGTGCATGTACCCTTGAAGTACCATATAGGTCCATTGGACTATGCATACTACCTTTGGATAGGTAAACTCATAGGTAGATTTCACCCAACCCAAAAAAAAAAACAGGTACGCTCATAGACTAGTTTGGAGCAGAGTATTCAATGCAATATTATCTTTAAGCTTGTGGGAAGCTATCTGGCATAATAAAATACAAGCCTGGATCAGGACTGCATACAAGATTTCTGAAGTAAGCAACTACATTGGACTTACTTTATTTTAAACCTTGAATGCATCATCGACAATAATTGCTATTATATATGAAATATAAAAGAAATGAAGGACAAAACTGTTATTTTCCAGATATGGTATGGATACATTTAATCAAAGTTTAAAAAAGTAATATTGCATCTCCTAGCTTCATTTTAAAGGCCGAAATTTTTTCACATGCAAGTAATTGCATCCCCTACCTCCATTTTAAAGGCCGAAATTTTTTCACATGGAAGTAATGAATTGTCCGAAAGGACTTCTATGAAAGCTACATTTTGTAATTTTTTGCATATCTTGTACCAAGAAAAGAGCAACAATCTTCCATGGATGGATGTTTAACATATCTCATTTCAACAACACCACTTGCTATCCTAAGTTTTGGTGAAAGACCCATAGATGAGAGGAACACACCTAAACAATATGAACCCCACCCACTCATCTCTAGCAATTCATCATGAAAATGGGCAATTCAAGGGGAAAAAAGAAAGAAAATACACTCAATGGCGAGTAGATTAGAGGTCAAATACCACTGAGATCTATAAAAGAGATGATGGCCACAAAATTGCAATTGTGCATTCATTCGACTTTTCTGCCAGGTGTATAAATGCATTATGTTTCAAGATTTCCAAGTTGCACACCTCATAGAAAAGTTTTCATAAAGATCAAACTACACCAATTAATCAAGTTTTCACAAGATGGACAAAATAGGAACTAGAGAAGCAGCAGAAGGGTACATCATAACCCATTGTATACAATACGGTAAGCACCTGAACATCACAAGGTCATTCTCAAACCTGTATTTGAGATTCTTTCCAAGAACCAGCTTGAAAAATGAAGTTGGCAACTCATAGTGTTGATCTTTTGCTTTGCCCATCTCCACAGCTATGGGCATTTCTTTAAGAGCTACAAAAGCCACATTGATGGGGAGACAATAACTATCAGGGAGCATTATTAGAGATTTTAATTTGATGAGAAGCATACAATGTGAATGAAATATAAAAGAAGAGTTACATGGCTTTACGGTTCCTTTCTAACATGGATACTAATTCTTTTAATTTAGATAAAAACTAACAATTCAAGGAACACGCAAAGCATTTTTAAGACAAAAGGGAACATCCCATGAAGGACAAAGGTAATAATATTATGGCACAAAAACATTAAGAATGGACGAAAACCTGTCAACCATGGGAAAATGGGTCTATAAAGAAGCCATATTATTAGTCTCCATTATTAATTCCCTATTTTTCATAGTTTCTTGTGATGTTTAAGTAATCATTTGATGAATTTTCATGTTCTAAAATTTTCTCAGTGACATGACGGTGATCAAGATGATAGTGATCAGGATGACTTTGAGTCATCTCGCCATTCATCTTCGTTCCAAATTGTATGTTTGGATTCGTTTACTTATCATTGATATCCAATTGATCCTTGGGATGTCATTGTTGTGATTCACTCCATTTAGACAAAGAAATGAATGTGTGATAACTCACACACGAACCAGACTTTCAATACTTAGGTATTTTCAATAATTTGTCAAATTAAGTAATGAAATGCTCTTTTTTGTTTTTGTACAAATCATTATAACTTCATTTTTTAAATTTTGGCACTCCTGAAATTTTTTCAGGGCCCCATATAACTGAACGGGCGGAATAGCCTATTCAAAACGTTTCGGCCAACCACTAGTTTAGAACCCGAAATTACTTTTTTAAAACATGTGGAGAAACTTTTAAAAACACATGGAGAAACTAAAAAATAACTTGATAAGAACAGCGTGTCATACAGAGCCCAAAATGTGGATAAATTGGATAATCATCATCATCATAGCCTTTTCTCAATTAATTGGTGATAAATTAGATAATCTTAGTGAGTAAAACGATACAGAGCAAGATATTAACTAAACAGGGAAGTAAAAGAAGAAAAGTATGCTCCCGCAAGTATATGCTCCCCTGAATAGAGTGTTTTTAGGATCCTAAATTTAAGGGATGTACCTTCCAAATAGTAGTGAAAAAATGATAATGAGAACAACATCGAAAGATTGAACCAGGACGATCCAACTTTTGAAAAGTCAAATCTAAATGTTTGAAACTCAAAATTTAATTTTCTTTCTTGAAAAATACCCGTCTCGTGGTTCTAAAGTTTTCATAAAAGAAAATACTTCTAAGTCTTTGGCAGAGGAATAAGTGTACAGTACGCTATCCTCGGGATAAAAACAGTTCTTGTAGGACCCAATTTTTCAAGTCATATCCTCCCCAACTAGTGGCCAACATTAAAAAGGAAAAAAAAATTCATACCCATTTATGTATGGGCTAGGAAAAATTATATATGTGCTCTCTAAAAGTACTGCATTAAATTTGAACATGGTCAGATTAGGGTAAGGACTCAAGAATGTTTTTCTTTTGAGAAAATTACATAAATATCCGTTATACTTTGTGTTATTACGGATTTACCAAATAGTTTCTGTTATTACATTTATGTCCGTTTTTTACCTTTTATAGCGCAATTTTTAAAAAAAAACGACTTTACGCTTTTTCGGACGTTGAACAATTGAATTTGAGGGTTTTTTGGATGTTCAACATCCGAAAATAGGCCGAAAGTTTAACGTTCACATTCTCATTTTTGGGTGTTGAACATCCAAATTGAAGGTTATGTCGATACATTATATTCCTTGTGAAAATAGTTTCGGGCGTTGGACGTCCAAAAATGTCATATTTTCGAATGTTCATCATCCGAAAATGACTACGAAATTCTAGAGACTTTCTGGAAATTCAAAGTCATATTTTTTGATGTTGAACATCCGAAAATATTATATTTACATCCGAAAATATTATATTTTCAGATGTCCAACATCCGAAACCATTTTCGGATGTTCAACATCTGAAAAACCCTTCAATTCGGACATTCAACACTCGAAAATGGGAATGTGAACGTTAAACTTTCGGCCTATTTTTGGATGTTGAACATCCGAAAAACCCTCCAATTCGGTTATTCAACATCCGAAAAAGGGTAAAGTCATCTTTTTTTAAAAAATTATGTTATAAAAGGTAAAAAACGGATATACATGTAATAACGGATACTATTTGGTACATCCGTAATAACGTAAAGTATAACGGATATGTACGTAATTTTCTCTTTTCTTTTTCACATAACTAATGTCATTATTTAAAAGGGTGCAGTTGACATACGGATGCATCCGTAGGTGTAGAGGTAAGGTGCACCTTCGGATTTTATCA